ATATATATATATATATATATATATATATGTGTAACTATTCAATGCAAAATCCATTTTTTTTTTAAATAAATGCTTATTTTTGGGCAATATTCTTATCATGCCTGTTTTGATTCAGACTTCACCAAGCTTTAATTATTGCAACTTAATAGTTTGTTTTTTTTAAATACTCCTGTTTTATATCGTTTTAGTTGGCTCAGTTTAATTTTTTTACTTAATGTGTTTGCGTTGCAGAGATTGAGAGGATCCAGAAAGGTGAAAGTAAAAAAGACTCTGAATCAGAAAAGGAGACCTACCTGGACCTGTTTGCCACCAAGAACCTGAAACTCAAAGAGCGTGTGCTCATTCCCACCAAGCAGTATCCCAGGGTAAGCATGTCGTTTCTCTCCTAGCAAAATCAGATGTTTTAAAATGTCTAATGACCTAAGTTGAGCAGTGTTGTAAATTTTGTAACAAAGCCATTTTTGCGCTCAGTGCTGTGCCTTTTTATAAACACGTGACCTGCTAATCCCCAGAATCTGGAGGGAAAGCTTTCCACTGGATTTAGTCTCTGTATTAGTGATGTCATGCGCTTAGTGTCCTCTTGTCTGCATGAAATGTTCTGCACTTGTCTATGTGGTTAAAAAGTGTAATGTGTGGCTGTGGTACTGTATTAGAAATGCTCTAAACACCCATTAGTCTACAATTTGATTAATTGCCACTTGTCCTACAGGTCAACTTTGTTGGAAAGCTTTTGGGCCCTCAGGGCAGCACAATCAAGAGACTCCAGGAGGAGACCGGGGCTAAGATCTCCGTTTTGGGCAAAGGTTCCATGAGAGACAAGAATAAGGTTTGTGTTTTAATTGTAGCACAGTTCAGGGGATGTTTGACTTTATCTTGCTCTTGTGGATTTATAAATTGTAAATATTCATCAGGAGGAAGAGCTGAGGAAGAGCGGCGAAGCAAAATATGCTCATCTGGCCATGGAGCTTCACGTTTTCATCGAGATAACTGCACCCATACCAGAAGCATATCTGCGCATGGCTCATGCGATGGATGAAGTGAAGAAGTTCCTTATCCCTGTAAGTCTTTGTTGAATGTTTCATCAAGTTACTTTATGAGGACTTTGATGCACTGGACACAGATGTAAATTTGTCCGACTTATTCACAGGAACCAGGTGAGTATGACCCTTACCTGGACCCTCAATTCCTGAATGGATCCCAGGATGGTTCAGGCAGGGGGCGCGGTGCTCTGGGAAGGGGCAGAGGTGGACCACCTGGTGCAGGAGGACCAAGGTAAGAAAATATATATATTATTGTGGCATTAAAATGTAATGTTCAAACGACAAATCTTGAGCTTATATTACTCCAGTTTGTTTAAGAAATTGTCCTCTTCTCAGGGGGCGAGGTATGCCACGTGGAAACATGAGAGGAGCTCCGCGCGGAGGAGCTCCGCGTGGAGGGCCAGGAGGACGAGGCACAGCACCTAGAGGGGCCCCGGCTGGTAGGGGTGGGCCACCCTCTGCTCCTACCAGAGGAGGATCTTCTGCTCGCTCCAGACCACCTGCAGCTGGGGCTCAGAGGATGCTGCCCACTGCAGGCATGTCCCACCAGCAGGTTCCTTCAGGATCGCAGCCCAAACCCGATGGTTATGACGAATATGTAGGTTTACGAAAATCTGCCTAATTTGGTTTCCTCTTTACGTCACAATAATTCTGTTTTAGTAACAGTGCTTTTTTTTCCTAGGGTTCATATGAAGAGCCTTATGCAGAGCCTGTCTATGAAGGATATGATAGTTACTACAGTCAGCAGCCTACTCCAGCGTAAGCTTAAACTCAAGGATTTGATTTGCGTTGTCTTTGAAGTGGGAAAGTTCTCTCAATAATTATTCACACCTTCCTTTCAGGGATACTGAGTATTATGATTATGGGCATGGTGAAGCCCAGGATTCAGCATATGAAGCTTACGGTACGTTCGCATTATGTGCAGCTATGATGAACCTTTTGTATGATGAGCCTCTTTAGGCTAAAGGTCCATTTTCTTTTCTTTGCAGGTCAAGGTGAATGGGACAGTTCGTGGTCCAGTTCTGGCGCCGGTGGCAAGGCGCCCCAGTCACGGCAGACGAAGGGAGCGTATAGAGAGCATCCCTACGGAAGATACTGAACAACTACCGGTAGAGAGTTGCCATGGCAACTGTCTCCGATTCTAACTCTTAAGTTTTGAAAAGTAATTCCCTTCTCGTTTGTTCCTTTTTTTTTTATGATTTATTTTATATATATATTTTTTTGTTTTTAAAACTTAGACATTTTGTTGGATGTATCAAGAGTGCCAGAGAAAAAACATGAACGCAGAGTTTCTTTAATTGTTTTATCTATTTCCATTTAATGTTTCAGTTGCGTAGTTAAAGTCTTAGTGGCATAAACCTAACTAAAGTGTGACATTTTTAGTGATGTTGATGGTTTAATTAGTTAATTGTTTTCTGAACAAACTGTGATTGTGGCGATAAAACTTTCTCACGTAGGCTGCATTTTCAAACGTCCTTCACAACTGGACATAAATTCCTCCCAATACTGTTTCAGTGTAAGTTTACTGTACCTTAAAGCAAATCTAGCTACAAATTCAAGTGCAAATTTTGGTTAACATCAAAAGACTTATATTTGTTAAAAAAATACAAATCTAGTTTTTTCTGAATTACAAAATGTACTAAAATATTGTGGACATTTAATTTGGAAAAGGAATAAAGTTCTTTTTTGCTACATTTTACAATTGGTATAATAAGTCGTTCTGTAACGTTTAAAATTTATACTGATTAATTAAAGGATAAAATCTGCTGTATGGAAAAGAAGGCTGCAGCCAACTCAATATTTTGTACATAATCTTAGAAAAACCTGTGTATGCTATAAGTCGTCTCCAAAATGCTTGTGTACCTTTTGCCTAAATAGGATACTAAACACATCCCAATATGTTTTTCTGAAGTGCGTGTTTCAATAAAGTTTCTAGTTTCTTTTTAATCCATCTAAACGTGGTATTTTGCCTTTGTTGTACCAAAGGAATGCCTTCAGTTTGTGAAAATGGTCCTCAGCGGCTCCCAACAATGCTGAATAAGCTGTATGTATACACGTCAACCTGATCTTCAAAAATCCTAGAGGGGACAAAAAACGAGCCAGAGTTTTTCAAATGAGCTTATCCTCTTCGTCTGTTTTTTAAAAATTAATTTGTAATGCCACCTTCAAAAGACAAAATAAAGCTCATTCCAAGAGATTATGTGCTGCCAAATACGTGTATGACTTGAAAATGGTACAGTGCTTTAACATGTATTGTCATTAATCTTTAGTTAGTGTATCTCCAAGCTCTCAAGAGAGCATTTGTATCTTCGGCCACTTGAAATGACTGAATTTCAACAGTATTCCCAAATCAAGCTTGCAGGGATCTTACTTGACTTTGATGCAAAGTCATGCTGGCTGGTTTTTATAAAAGAAAAAAATCGCAGAGGAGAGGATTCTAAAAGCCTAAAGATCGCCACAAGAAGGTAAAACTAACCCCAACACTCATTTATTAGATTTATTTTATTTTTATTTTCTATTATTTTCTGTGAGAACATTTAAGTAATGAAAGTCATCCAAAACATCAAAACCATTCAAGTACAAAATTATACTGGTATTTCGTATTTACTCGGAGCAAAATAAGACGCACAAAACAATCCTGTGGTTGTGATGCAACTCTTGCTCAAATAAAACAATTGTTTCATTTCACTCAATACTTATTGCCATCTTGATTACTAGTCTATATTAATGAAAATAAATGTTTAGCTTCACTTAAAACGTTAAAAAAAATCCATTGACGGACAAAAACCCTTCAACTTGAGTTGCATGAGACTTTTTTTTTTTTTGTATATAGTTTAAATTAATTTTGCATGTGTTGCTCGTGCATTAGGGACTTGCATGGCCCAGATCTCATTTCCTTTCTCCTCATAGGTTGTCAGAAAGATAAAGGAGCAGTTGATGGATTCAGATCCAGATTATCAGGCCCCACAAGGTCAGTTGGAAGAGGATTTTGAAGTGTTCTGGTGGTCTACTGAAATTAATTTGTTTGTCTTTATAGGCTGATTAAAATTCCCTGGAGAAAGAGGCCCTGCAGAAGTAGACGGCTTCTTTGGTTTGGAAAAAAATGACTTTCACTGATTTTTATTTTTTGGGGGAGAAAACGCTCAACCAGCAACAAATGACCTCGTTTTTTTTTTTTATTTTATAACTTTTTAAATTGAACGTCTACTTTAAATGTTTTTACACTTGGCATTTTGTAATAAAAAGTCTGAAAACACCTTTCTTCTGTAATAAGTGTTTTAATATAACCAGCTCATAGCTTGGTTAGTTCAGCCGTGCCCCTCTTACAATGCTGTTATTGCTAGTATCACTCAGCCTCCTGTGAATAGCAAGCGGCCATCAGGGCACTAACAACCAGTCATTAGGCCGACGGTCCTTTTTATTGTGTGAACAGCAAGTTTTTGAATGTCAACAAACTGGATGATCCACTATGAGAAGCTGCTATTTATAAGAGCCAATTACAGCTCAGACAAGTCTTGGATTAAAGATGAAATTATTATTTTTTTTACTTGTTGCATCTGTCAAGAGGACCTGTTAGAGTAATAGATTTATCGGAGGAAACGTCATAAAATCCTGGTTTAAACCCTACCACTGGTTAATTCAGATGTTTATCAAAACAATAGTTTTGCAGTAGGGGGGGGGGGGAATAATGGATGCTATGCATTATAAAATGCCACGTTCTTAAAATTTATATATGTCCATTAGCTATAATTGAAGCTGAAAAACAAAGCAATGGTGTTTATTTGCATGCATGGCAGCAGTGCTGCAGTTTAAATGACTAAAAAAAGGTTAATCTTTGTTAAAAGTGAATGTGAAAAGAAAATGTGCTGCATGAGTGGACGTGAAATTAAAAATCTAGACAAAGGGACCAGGTAGAGCTGTTAGTGGGTGTTTTTGTTCACTAAATAAAACATAAATCCTAGTTATTAGAATTGATGCCGATAAAAAGATTTTGTTTACAATTGGTGCGATTTTATAAACCCTCGTGTAAACGTGCAGTCTGGATGCGCCTTTAAATGATTCTCCTCCCACAGCTAGCATCCGCGCCTCCACCCACCAGCAGCAGCAACGACCTGTTTCACATCAACAATGAGTCTGTTCGCTGATTTCAGTGGAAAAAGAACGCGTTTTGAAAATCCATCTTCGGGTTTAACTCCTTGCCTGTGAAACTGAGCATTCTCCAAGTGAAAACGCGCGCAGGTAAGCGGACATGTCTGCTAATGTTTTGGTAGCTTGATGGCCAGTTAGCTTTCTGTTAGCTTAGGCCTCAAGCTTGATCTTTATTCAAGCGTGGTCTGGGCGGACGGACAGGGGTCCATACCTCATTGTGCTGGTCCACGTTTCTCCATGTAAGCTCCATGTTTGAATACACACAGCTCCGCAAAGACTTTTGGTTCAAGGCCAGGCTGGGAAGAAAACGTTAGCTGCGTAGCTAACTTGTTATGACAGCTTCCGCATGAACTTGCAGCAAAATTTGGGATGTTCTGCGGCTTGTGCAAACTGGTTGATCGTCAACAACTTGTGGCTTTACGCGTATAAAAAGACATTAAAGTTTCTATTGAGTCTGGTTGGCTTTGCAGGTGTTCGTTTGTTGCAGGTTGTTTTGGTTCTGTTCACTGTTTTCATCCAGTCAGACCAAAATATTAAGCCAAACTTTCTCAAGGTGTCTAATGTTTTATTGGGGGTAGAAATACTCAATCCAATACTTATCTGGTATTTACTTGGTACATACTGGATACCCAATGGAACAAATTAACTGCTTACCCTGTGCCTACATGGTACATTCTTAGTACCTACAAAATACTTACCTGGTACTTAACAGTTAATTACATATACTTGCCATGACTGAACTGATATATATCAGGTACTTGACCGATAACTTGACTGTGATAGTACCTTGTACTCATAAGGTACTTCCCTGATACTTGCTGTACAAATGCATTTACTGTACCTGGTGCTTAACGACTGCAAGACCAGGTTGTAATATATATTGACAGGGTACTGCCCCTTGCTGGGTTAAGTGCATGGTAAGTACCATGCACTTAACTGTTTCTTATTGGAAACATATCTGGTAATTACCTGAGTTGTACCTGGCATATATCGTGTACTTGCCAGATAATTATTAACAACGTAGCTGGTACTTCTAGGGTACTTACCTTGCACTTATTGAGTTTGTACTTGGGACATAACTGGTACTTACATGGTAAAAGGGGAGACCAGGGTGTACTATAAAATGATAGGCTACCCTGTACTTTCAGGGTACTTACTTCACCTGGTACTTACTATGTATGTTATTGATAAATATTGGTTAATTATCAGATTTGTACCTTGTAAGTCATTTCATAATACAGCCCAGGTACCCTGTACCCAGTAAATACCCAGCATGTACTTGGTAAGTACCGGTTGGTAATATGTGTTGCTACTGTTTTTGTTGTTATTGTTGTTTGTTTGTTTGTTTGTTTTTAACCTTTGAATCCTTTATTACTCATTTTCAGTCCTGTACTTGACTATTTTCAGAGGAATATGCATTTTTTAATGACATTCATCTGATGAATTAATCATCCATCCATTATCTTGACCCGCTTCTTCCTTCAAGATATGAACTTGTGCTGGTTGAAAACACAACAGACGACAATGGTGAACCAAGTTTAAATTAAATCTTTACAGACACAATTTTCAAAGTATTTTGCTGAATTTGTAAAAAAAATAAAATAAACCAAGTATAACACAGTTTGATTACATAAAGTAGTAATTTAGCACCAACAAGGTGGTTCCTCAGGAGTTATTTACTAATAGATGGCACACAGCAAATGACTGACAAAAAGATGATGCAGCTCCTGTGTTTTTACTGGATTTCCTTTTTTTTCTTTGTTCTCCATATGTCCACTTTCCTCATTTTTCTAAGCACAAACTACCAATGTTTAATAAAGGCTTCATAAACACAGAGTTGTCTGCACAACTCTTTAACATCTGCAACTTTAATGTAAGACAGGTGCCAGAATAAGGAGAGGAATCAAGCCAAACACAAAGCTGACAGAGGTGAAGTGCGGGTGTGTCTGCGATGGCCGGTGGAAGGAGAGGGACAAATCGTACCACATACTGCAGACCTCCTCTAAGCAGTGAGCCAGGCTCTGTCGGCAATGGCAGCCACACAACCAGTTCTCCAGTCACCGGGGTGCGATCCCGTACGAGGTAAATAAATGACGCATTATATTTGAATTGTGCAGCTTCATGTCTTAAGCTCCAGCTTAATAAAACCTCACATAATGGCATGTTGAAGCGCTTTTATGACGTTTTGTTTCGTCTTGCAGAAACGGCTCTGGAACGTGCATGTCCAGCCCTCCTCTTGCTGCGCAGACCGTGGTTCCTCTGAAGCACTGCAAGATCCCCGAGTTGTCAGTGGATCGAAACGTGCTGTTTGAGCTGCACCTGTTCTTCTGCCACCTCGTTGCACTGTTTGTCCACTATGTCAACATCTACAAGACGGTGTGGTGGTATCCCCCGTCACATCCTCCCTCACACACGTCACTGGTGAGCAGTGGTTCTGGTAACACTTCCATTGTTCTCTCTGTTTTGCTCTGTAGACTTTAAATGCAGTTTGTAGAAGAACTAAGGAGCAATCCCTCCGCTATAGTCATCATTTTGTGTTTTTTAAAGAACAGTATTGTTAATTGATGACACACTAAACTGATTAAAAACCAAAATATGTATTTGTTTTTTACAGAATTTTCATCTTATTGATTATAACATGCTGGTATTCATTATCATCATTTTGGCAAGAAGGTTAATTGCAGCCATTGTTAAAGAGGTAAGACTTATTATTCTAATCTATTCAACACATTCTTGTTTTAGGTGGATTGTATAAGAAGCATCTTTGAGCAAAGTTTTATTTTGAATGAAGGTGAAAATGTAATATTAAATTTGTTTATTTTGCTCCATTGTGTCCTTCAGGCATCACAGAGCGGGAAACTCTCGTTCCCTCACTCGATATTTCTAGTGATGGCTCGGTTTGCGGTGCTGACGCTGACAGGATGGAGCTTGTGCCGTTCCCTTATTTACCTCTTCAGAACCTACTCAGTCCTCAGCCTGCTCTTCCTTTGCTACCCGTAAGTAATACTTCTTTTCCCCCACTTTGACTCTAATGAACAAAGTCTTTGCCACTGTTATCTGTGTTTTGAGCAGTTTTTTGGTCTATTTTTGTTTCTGAAACATTGTCGCGGTCAGAAAGTTTATTTGTGATTTTTCTGTGTGATTTGATTAATGAAAACTTGTTTCGTGCCGTTTTGTATCAACTCCCAAACACTCCTTTGATGTGCTGCTATACTAAGTTTCTTTCGGCTGCTCCCTTCTTCAGGGGTCGCCACAGCGAGCAAACTCGCATGAAAGATTTGGTAATTGTTTTACGCTGGATGCTCTTCCTAACGCAACCTGGGCTCAAACCCACAACCTCATGATTACAAGACCACGGCACTGACCACCAAGCTACCGCAGCCCTCCAAAATGATGTGCTGCTATACTGATTTAGTTTATTAAATATTAATTGCCAAATTAAGTTTGTAATAGATCTTGAATCGTTTATCACCATGTTCCTGATTTAAGATATTTTTTATTACATTCTTATGTTTGCAGACATGTTCACTATGACTGTTTCCAAAGGATCGATCGGCTGAGTGTTTATGTGCAGGAAGACATGGATTAGCAATAATTTCACAGAGAAAAATAAATTTTAGGAAGCATTAAAGTTTGAATATTCTGATGCAAAAACTTTATTTCATAAGTGGATGAAATCATAAAGTAGAAACATGCACAAGTAAAAGTAAACAACCTGCATTGCTTGTATTATCTCATGACCAGAAATGAATTATTTTATGTTTTTAACGCTAGTAACAAGAAATGGATTAACTTGAGCTGTTAGCTAAATTAAAAAGTTATTTATAGCTTTTGTGCATGAGGAACTATTCTGCAGTGGACAGGCATAAAGACATCTCTTGTTACATTTTTGGGTCATTCAAATGAGATTTAAAGTTAGCAGGACCAGATATGACAGATCTTACTAATGTCTTTTATCTCTAATGTGTGCTTCATTCTCGGTTTATGTGACTGTCCTGTGACATGTTTCAACTTAAAAAATATAAATAAATTCTTTGAATTTTTTTTACATTATCTAATTGTTTTTTTTGTTTTTTTTTTACTATCTCTTCCCTCCTTAGTCCGTTAGTACTTTTGGCTTGCAGTCATCCAAACTCACTTTCGTATTTTCATCTTTATTCTCCTCACTAATACTACAGTACTAGTAAAGCAGTAGTGTTGCCTTGTTTAATGCGCAAAATCTTCAGATTCAATAAAACGTAACTGTAGATGCTGATCCCCACAGGTTTGGGATGTATATCCCGTTCTTCCGGCTGAGCTGTGATTTCCGGCGAGCAGGCTCTCTCTCCCCGATCGCCAGCATCGGCTCCAAAGAAGTGGGCAGCGTGAGCCGAGGCCTGACCGTGCTGAAGGAGACGTGGAAGCAGCACACCAGCCAGTTGTACGGAGTGCAGGCCATGCCCACTCATGCCTGCTGCCTGTCCCCAGATCTCATCCGGAAGGAGGTGGAGTACCTAAAGATGGACTTCAACTGGAGGATGAAGGAGGTGCTGGTCAGCTCTATGCTCAGTGCTTACTACGTGGCGTTTGTCCCCGTTTGGTTTGTAAAGGTAAGATTTTTTTTAATCACATTCAGTATTTAATGTTAAAATCTGACTGTTTTGTATTTCTCTCCAGAGCACCCAGTATGTAGATAAACGGTGGTCCTGTGAGCTCTTCATACTGGTATCGATCAGTACGTCAGTCATCCTCATGCGCCACTTGTTGCCGCCTCGATACTGTGACCTGCTTCACAAAGCTGCAGCTCACCTCGGCTGCTGGCAGAAAGTAGACCCCTCGCTTTGCTCCAACGTCCTTCAACACATGTATGCACTGTTCTTTGTTCTTTTCTGAGCTACTCATCAGTTCAGCTTAACTTAAATCACACTCTGTTGTTTGTTTTTGCACAGATGGACTGAAGAGTATATGTGGCCACAGGGAGTTCTGGTAAAACATAATAAGAATGTCTATAAGGCCATGGGCCACTATAATGTTGCAGTTCCATCAGATGTGTCGCATTATCGCTTCTATGTGAGTATCATAACACAAACTAATGCTTTACACTAGCTTTTTATATATATATATATATATATATATATATATATATAATATATATATATATATATGTTTACTCCATCTCATTGCTGATCTGTTTCATTTCTTTCCCTAGTTCTTCTTCAACAAGCCTTTAAGAATATTAAACATACTCATCATCCTCGAAGGTGCCATGATATTCTACCAGCTCTACTCACTGATATGCTCAGAAAAGTGGCATCAGACGATATCGCTGGCCCTGATTCTCTTCAGCAACTACTACGCCTTCTTCAAGCTCCTCAGAGACAGAATCGTCCTAGGCAAGGCGTACTCGTACTCAAACAGCTCATCAGACCAGAAAGTCAGCTAAAGCCTGAATTCACAGTCGAATACAAACATGCCCGAGAGTTCTGTATTTTTTCTACAAACTGCATTTTGTGTCACATTTTTGTTCTGAACTGACTGCCATAATAAAATAAATATTTTTGTATTACTTTACAAAGTTTGTTTTTATTGTTATAGATTTAATGAGGATTAATAGTTGGGGAAATTAATTCGGAGCTCACAGATCTTACATTTTTAATTTCTAACAACCTCAAAAGCCTCAAGCACTGTGGTCCAAAATGAAGAAGCAATGCTTTAAGCATTTTGCTGCATATTAATAATTCACATTGGAAACATGACCAGTGTTTTCCCCCTGAGCAGTTAGGAGTGTATAAATTCATACACTGTACAAGGAGGAGAAAAAAAAATAACGGCATCAACAAGTTTGTTTCCTCAGATTTATTTATATTTTTCACTATAGCAAAAGAAAATGCAGCAATTATTGTTTTCAGGCAGCTGGAGCAGTATATTTATGTACAGTAAACAGTTTTGCCTGCTGCCTACAGTCATCACAGTGCGATACATTTTTTTACATTAACTACACATGAAAATAAACAATTATATTTTCCTGTTTGTTACATTTGAGTCACAATGATCCAAAAAAATCAACAAGGAATAGATCAGTTCCCTGTGGAATCTACAAGGGTGTTTTTATGTCATCTAAAGAAATGCAACAACTTTGGCTTACAAAGCATACATTCATCTTCATGGGTGACGATTTAAATCAAAAATTTAAACTGAGTTATATGTTTGGCTGATAGGAATTTGTACTGTAATGATCAAAATGCATTTTGATGGGCAGAAAAATTCTGTTTAAATAAAATGTTTTATCAGAAAGTAGCACAAAACAGCATTATTGAATCAGCGCATCATTATCACAAGATGAAAAAACCTTCAGTTTGTTTAAAAAGCACCAATAAAATAATCTCGGCACTGTACAAAAACATTCACATCATAAAATGCCAATTAGTACAACTTTTCTAAGTAAGAAAACCAGCAGCTTGTGTTGAATCTTCACTTTATAATGTCCCATCAGGAGACGGTGGAAAGAAAAACCTCCATTTTAACAAGAAGAAACCAACAGAACCGGGCTCAGAATGTGAAGCCATCTGACGCTGGGGACAGACAAACAAAAGCCCAGGTGTAATTTCTCTGGAAGAAAGAAAAACATGTTAATAAGAGCAATAATTAGAAATACGAACATAGAGTAGTGAAGACGGCAGCATTCAATAACTTTGCACATAGATAATTCAATACGGTTTATTTATATAGAGCCAAGTCACAACAGACGTCATCTCAAGGCACTGAACAGAAACATTCATATATATATATATATATATATATATATATATATATATATATATATATATATATATATATATATATATATATATACAAGTAAATTAATAACATTATTTATCTAAGGAGCAGACTGCTTTGAGTAACTCCATCACAGAACTCTCATTTTGAGCAAGCATGAAGGCAACGGAAAGGGAAAAACCCTCATGAGGAAGAAACCTTTAGCAGAACCAGGCTCAAGACAAGCGGCCATCTGCTTTGACCGGCTGGGGTTGAGAGGAACAGGAAGGAGGAACAGATACACAATGGCAGGTCAAGAATCACATGTTAAGATATAAATAGTATTAAATGAAAACTATTCAATTGCAACAATTAATTTAAGGAAATTAGGTCAATTTGTCCTCCAGTTGTCTAAGCCTATAGCAGCATAACAAGCCAACCCTAATTATGAGATTTATCAAAAAGGAAAGTCTTACCCAGTCTTAAAACTGAATAATGTGTCAGCCTCATAGACAGAAACTGGAAGTTTGTTCCACAAGAGAGGAGCCTGATAACTGAAAGATCTTCCTCCCATTCTGCTCTTAGGAACCGCAAGTAAACCTGCAGTCTGAGAGTGAAGTGCTCTATTAGGAAAATATGGAACAATAAGATCTGTAATATTAGATGGAGCTAGGTTGTTGAGGGCTTTGTAGGATAATAAATATATAATAATTATATAATAAAGCTGCTCCGCTGTACAAACATGGTATACAACAATAAATTTACAGCTCTTTTCCTATCCAAAGTGGCCCTAAAATTGACAGAAAATATGAAAACATAAATCTGGAAAAAGTAAACAGAAAATCTAAGAATTTTCTTAATGTGTAGTGCAAACATTTTGGGGAAAGTGCAATCTGAAGCCTTGACATCCACGTGTGCGACGTGTACCTTTAAACCTTTAGACCAGGGGTGCCCAAACTTTTTCCCTGAGAGGGCCAAATTTAAGATATATCAGAGGGCTGCGGTCCAAATGCAATAATATATGAAATGGTTTGAGTAACGTCCATTTATTTATTATACAATTTAACCTTCCATTCTGTATAAAGAGCATTACAGAACAGGCTGTGGGGGTGGAGGTCTGGGGTTCCTCCCCCAGAGAATTTTGAATAAAGAAGATGCCATTTCCTGCATTCTGGTGTATTTTACAAAAGTTCATTACAGTAGATTAATATGAAACAAAAGATGTAAAGTCTGTTATTATTGAAATCTCTCTGACTGCAAAGCGTTCATAATGCAAAACTGCTGCAGCTCTACAGGTAAGGGGCGTTCACTTCTGGACAAATCGAGGTTGCTGATTGGTCAGTTGTTGACGCGCCTACTGGATTGATTGACAGGTGGCAGAACTCGTGAAACCAGTTCATATTTCTAATTTATTTTTAAACACTGTGTGATTTATAAGTGTATTGAGTGCAGGATCATTTCTTACCTTTATTAATTCACGTCAATAATGGGGAATGGGTCCTTGAGAGTATCCCTCATTGGTCATTTCGGTTAGACTTCTGGTCACATGATGACAGAGTTGGAAATTTGGTACATGTGATTACCTGAGGCAATCACTCTGTGTCACAAAAACAGGTGGGTGAACAGGTGTTCTCAAAGGAAAATGTTATTCGGTGGCAGGAAGCTGAGGGATGGTGGGAGGTCTGTTAAAATAAAATAGAAGAATATAAATTATTTAAATTATTACAAAAATACACAAATCAGCTACACTACTGTGTAATCCGTGTAGTGCAATTATAGTAGTCAGGCTCATTAACATTAAAGTCAGTGGGGGGAATCGAGTGCAAACACATTGATTCTTCAAAGGAAATTTTACTATAGTAATGAGGACAGCTCGGTGGGCCAACTCAAGCGTCTTGGCGGGCCAATTTTGGCCCGCGGGCCCCACTTTGGGCACCCTGCTTTAGACATATTAAAACTGATTTAACCTCCTGAGACCCTGCATGGGGACATTGCATTTTGGCTTTGCTGTACCTTGCGGCTCCAGAAATTTTTTTCAGCAGGTGCTAAGGGGAGGCTAAGCATTTTACTGTGGGTGCTATGAAGGTTATTTTTCTTCCCTAGAGTTATCAACACAAACACAAGCACACGTGCACGCACACACACACACACACAGGTGCACTGAAAACTCTGACATCAGCAGTCACCAATACAGTGGATAGTGAATAATGTGGTACTCTGCAATTAATTTAAAGCATATACAAACGTGACACACTTGCCATATTTATAGATCTTAGTATGCAAACTGTTACAACAAATTCACATTGTTTCCCCAGATGTATCACATAAACAATTTCAGTCCACAATGCTGAATGCATTACAAAGTCAGAGAAGATTGAAATCATTCACTCACCATCAGAAGTCTTCATAACAGGACAATCCACCTGTTATTGTGGTTGAGGGCAAAAGCATCAATAATCCTGTCACTGTCCAGGGTCCTGGTTCTTAAAGGATTGATAGCAAGAAGTGCCAGGTCACTTGTTCGACTGTCTCCGCTGCTTAGGTAGTTCTTCAAACGACGCAAACAAGAAAAACTGCGCTCACAGCTCACTGATGTTACTGGAAGAGTCAAAGATATGGATATCAGCTTATACAAGTCCAGGAATGCATCTTTGTAGGGCCGCATCACAGATAGGAAGTCTTGTGTGTTGTTGATTATAAGTCCCAGTTCTTCTTTCCTTTTCAGCAGCCGGCGAACCTGGTGGAGCTCAGCTGACAAGTTCTCCTCGTTAACTCCATGAAGACAGGCCATAGGCAGTATCCATTTTTTGTCAAGGAATGATGGGTGTTTGGGGTTTAGAGCTGGCAAACCTTTCAGTACTTCATTAGTTTCTGAAGAAAAACGCTGTTTCATTTCCATTAGCATCCTGTCTATAACAGAATAGAATGATTTTGTTTTTAGGTCATCCGTGCTGTCTGCACCTTTTCTTTCTATTGAGGCATCCACAATAAAGTGCTCTAGATGTTTAGCTGTTTGAGTCTGTCTTTTCTGCCGATGTACAGTCTCTGTTGCTATTCCTGTGTTGCTGCAAAGTTCTTCTGCTTCTTTTCTGAGTGTCTCCCATTTGTCATCTGTGCGTTTTTCTGTTAAAGCAGTTATTACAGAATGAGCCAGGTCATTTGCTGCTACTAGATCTAAATTAGGAGACTGTAGCTGATCAGACATGAATTTTGTTGTTCTGAAAATATCCTCAAAAATTACAAGATGCAGAACAAACTTCTTATCTATAAGTGCACTGAGAGCTTTAGCCTCCGTCCTCCTTTTAGCATTTTTCTGGTCAACAACATCGTGCAGCGTAGCTATAACAGCTGGGAGAGTTTTTTTGACAGCACGTATGGAATCATACTGGCACGCCCAGCGGGTGTCACTGAGTCTTTTAAGTTCTAGGCGCTGTACAGCTGACACAAGTTCTTCCTGCTTCTTCAAAAAAAGATCATGAACAACAGACCCAGAAAAAAACTTGTAAAGCATTTGCAATATCTCAAAAAAATCGGCTGCAGCATCAACATTATGTACACAGTCTACTAACACAAGATTCAGCCTGTGAGCATGGCAGTGAATGTACACAGCTTGCGGCACCTCTTTTCTCAACTTTTCTTGAACTCCATTGTTGCACCCGGACATAACAGCAGCACCGTCATAGCACTGTCCGACACAGCAATTTATATCAATATTACAACGACTGAGGGTCATTTTGATACAGTCAAAAAGTGAGTCTGCATCTAATCCTTCTGCTGGGGTGAAATGCAAAAATTCTTCCACCACCTTCTCTGAATCTGGCTGCAAATAACGAACAATAACAGATATTTGTTCTTTTTTGCTGATATCTTTACTTTCATCCACCAAAATAGCAAAGTGTTGAGCTTCTTTCACTTCATTGCTGATTTGTTTTCTTATCATTTCAGCCATAACATTAAATATTTCGTTCTGTATGTCATGATGAACATACTTAGCATTAGATGGATTAATTGTCAGCTTTTTTTGGACATTGGGATCAAATTTTCCAATCACATCAAGCATCTCACGAAAATTACCTTTGTTAGCTGAATCCTGTTTCTCACTGTGACTGCGCTGTGCGATTCCCTGACAAGCTGTGTAGCGCAAACTTTCTACAACACCCATCATGTACCTCCGGTTCTCCTGAACCAATGCAGAATGTCCTTTGTCGAGCATGTTGGGGAGTTTTGATCCACTCGTTTGTTTAAACTTGAATTCACTCCACGCTTCCATTGCAAATTTGTGTCCGGCGCTTTCATGATGGCTCTTCAATGACGCTGCTGCTTTCCGCCAGTTGTTAAAGCCGAGCGCGGTAAATGCTGGCTCAAGATGGAACCTGTGTCCTCCTTTTAGAAAATGCCGACAAGCAAAACAAAACACGGCATCTTTACTCACGCTGTATTCTAACCACAAATATTGATCGAGCCAGCCTTTACTAAAACTTCTCTGTTGCACTCCAAACAAGCGTGATGGGTATTTTTGCAGAAGTGGTCGTCTTGGTCCATCTTGAGGACTTCTGCTTAGATCTTCTAGCTGTCCAGTGCTAACACTGTTAGCATTCTCAGCAGCAGTGGAAGGATAACTGCACAGTTTATCTTCTTCATCCAGATTAATATTTCTTTGTTGGTCGGACTCTGCTTCCAAAAATGCATCCTTCTCAAATTCCATCCGTGGAACTTTTGGTTGCAAAAAACGATCCATATTTGCGCAGCGTGTTCCTCTCAATTGCTTCCCGGAAGTAATAATACGCAAAGTTCAAATCAGGTTGAATTATTTTTTTTATTTTTATTTTTTACTGAAATTAGAATGGTTGATTCTTTTTATATATATTTGTCTTTAGAAGAAAATGCCACAACTACATATTTAAAATATTAAATTAGATGAAGAAAAAAATCTAAATATTTCCTGGGGGTGCTATGGAGGTGCTATAACTTTTCTAGGGGTAGCTATAGCGCCCCCTAGCGTCCCCCTGGCGCCGCCACTGCTTATACTTCACTCTGTTCAAAAGTGTTTTATACTTTGTTAAGCCATGTTAATGTTGTTGTGTTATGCTGTAAAATAAGCCCACTGTCCCCATCTGAGGACTTTTTTTTTTTTTTTTTTTAAACAAAAGTATGTCATAACCATGTAATAAAATACAACTTCCTGTTCGAAGAAGCTTTATTTATACACAAATCAGGCCCATCTAATCACAAATATCTAGGAGATATGAAAAATGCATCGCAAACCAGAGCTCGGGTCTCAGGAGGTTAAAAACATTAAAAACACCAAACAAACCCCACCTGTCTTCATCCTCCTCCTCCTCCTCCTCAGCCGGGTGTACTGGCCCTTTAAGAGGAATAAAGACAACAGCCCCGCACGAGCGCGTTTCGATGCCGCCGCGCGCTTAACAACATTTCACCAGTAATTTACTCTCAAACGGATCGTTTACCTCCGTCGTGATTTAAGGAGGTGAATTCGCAACAAGCGTGTATAAATGTTTTAAATGTTAGAAGGGAGAAATGCGACACCCGGCAGGTTGGCTCTCTGGTGCGTAATTGATTCGGTAAGGCTAAATATTTATCTCATTCCTGTTTACACGTCCTCTGCCAAGCTAGGTTTACTCATGTAGCAGCTAGCTGTTCGCGTTTATTTTTCATTTTATTTTTATAGTACGGGTAGAGTGGCGGTGAAGGGGAGTTTCGGTGTACAAAGTTGCCTTTGTGTACTGTAGTAGCCATTTTTGGAGTCCACTTTGAGACACTAGCTAGATTTATCCCATAAGAACTGCTTTACCGTGCTAATATAGAGGCTTTATTATATCAGTGTAAGACAGCTAAAGCTCACATATACAAGTGTGCATCATATCCTGCTAATTTCATTTATTGTGATTTTTTTTCTATCACCCTGTCAGCGAGAGAGCATCATTATCTTATATTTTCATGGCTTATCTGCACAGATCATGTTACAAGAGGATTCTGCACTGGATATTTGTGCAGCAATCAGCTGTGTGTTAACAGCTTTAACAACAAACCCTGCTGCAGCTGATTGCATAGGGAATGGATATCTTATTTTATTGTTAGATCTCTACGTGAGCCTCTCAGATATTCAGGATAAGTCTCAGCAATTACCACAAAATGTACAGCCACAACAAATCTTAAGATCTAGTCTTTTTTTATTTGTATTTTCCAAAGGCCTTCTTGAATTGGGTGGACTCTGAAGTTTTCAGTACATCCAATGATTATTTTCTGAAGGTTTCATGAAAATCTGTTAATTAAATATTTTGCAAACAGTCAGTTGGATTTTAGTCCAAATAGTAATTGAGAAGATTTTAATAAAAAAAAAAAAAAAATCTTGCACAATCTGTTAGCGATTGGAATTTGTGTTAGGGATCAGTCTCTGCAACTACCACACCAAATCTTCAGTCCATTCCAGAAAACAGAGTTATAGTCATTCATGTGTATCCTATAGTCAATTGACTTGATGGCCATCTTGAATTGGACTGACTCCAAACATTTATCAGTTTTAGATGTGCACACAGAGGGGGGCAACAACGTTATTGCCTTTTGCCTTCGGCAGTGGAGGATAAACATTGTAGTGTCGAGCAAGAACATCTAAAGAGGCCACTGTTCCTACTCTTGCTTTTGTTTGTTTGTTTCTGAGAAGCGGAACTATTAAGTGGTGTCCATTAAAGCCTAAATGCAACTCCATTTAGTAGATTAGAACTCCACTCTTCTTTGCTATCAGTTTTTTTTAAAGCTGGATTAATGGTAGCATGGTTTCGTTGGTGTATTATATCTTGATGATGATGATGATAAGTTAATCATCCTTAGTTGTTCAAAGGACAGAATCCTGGGCAGTAGTTTTAATTTTAGCTCAGCCAGACTTCTCAGAGGGAGGGCGAGGCTGCTGGTTTTCAGCTTCCTACCTTTGATGTTTCAGGACATCCTGCAAACCAGCCAGTGTTCTGCCACCTCCACTCATCTCAACCTGGGAGAGCTTCAGTTAAAAGGCCTCAAACGTAAACAACAATGGAAGACAAGCGTAAGAAGCGCAGCCCCAAGGTGTCTCTTCCCCAGCCGCCTCCTCCACCAATCAATCCCCGCAAACTCTCTGTCCTGCCAGCCAGCAAAAGTGCCACCTTCTCCCTCGGCCTGCCGCAGCCCCCCTCCCCTAAGAACAGAAGCAAATATAAAAGATCCATAGGAGCTCCAGGACAGCCGAAAGAGGTGCTTACGACTGTCATGCCCCCACCAAAGACCACCAGGTTTGTCTCCTAATGTGATTTGATGAGAATTTCAACATCAAACAAGAAAATCGACTAAACTAGAGAAGCTGAATTATCTGCAGCGTGAGTGAACACCGAGTGCTGAATGACTCAACTCAAGTAGCTGAAACGGAGTTGTTCCACTTTGAAGAAGCAGAACACGAGCTGAAAGCTAAAAGTAGCAAATGGTAACGGAAAGCTAAAAACAGTAAGATGCTAAATGCTAACAAAAAGTCAAAAGTAGCCAAAAAGCAAGCTAAAAGCAGTAAAATGTTAGCTTAAAGTGAAAGACTTGCCAAAAGTGGCAAAAGCTTACCTCAAATCAGTGAACTAAAAGTAGCTAAATTAGCTAAAAGTAGTAAAACATTAGGTTAAAGTGGCTAACTGAAAGCAGCAAAAGGCTAGCTAAAAGCTAAATGTATCAGAATGGTAATTGAAAACTAAAAGTAGCAAAAGAAGACTATGCTGATTCAGACAGTAGAGCATATAATTTAACAAAATGTTGTTTTCTGTCTGTCAGACCCCACAGAGAGAAACCCAGAGCCCCACAGCCAGCAGGACCCAGTAAGGTAGTCCAGTCTTCCCCCCTGCAGCACTCCTTCCTTACAGACGTCTCAGACGTCAGAGAGATGGAAGGAGGCCTCCTCAACCTCCTTAATGACTTCCACTCAGGCAAATTGCAGGCTTTCGGTAAGATAATCTTGATGTGAGAGCCCACTAAGGGAATATTCTGTTACAGGTTAAAAATAAAATGCTTCTGAAGCTGTTTTGTTAATTGAATCAGGCTGAAATCAATTACCTGAGAAGCTATTTTAAAAACGCTGCCATGGTAATGCTTCTGCTTTTGCAGAAAAATAGTCACGAGTCCTTGTTTGGCTTTTAGGTAAAGTTTGCTCCTTTGAGCAGCTGGAACATGTGCGGGAGATGCAGGAGAAGCTGGCACGACTGCACTTCAGCCTCGACAGCCACGTGGAGGAACTTTCTGAGGATCAGAAGAAGTGTGCCTCGGACCACAACCTGGAACACCTGCTCTGCAATGTAAGCACGATGCACAGCAGCTGAGGGTTAACAAGGAGAAAATCAAGTCAGCCTTCAACAGAGGTCCGTTTCAGGAAACGGATCCAATGCTTACGGCGGTTTAATCCTCTAATTTGTTTACTATAATACAAATTTTATTAACGTAATAAAACCAAAACCCTGCTGGGAAGGGTTTTTAGCTTACATCTAGTTCAAATGCACCTTTTAAGGTGTAGCATCAAACACACACACACCTGTGATTTTAAGGTCCTGTTTTGACCCAGTGTCAGTTTGAAGTTGAAAATGTGTCTCAGTTTAAATTTTAAATCTTCACCTAACAGAAGTTATAAATACATCACCATGTGAAAATGTTTTAGCACAAGATACTACTAAACACATTTTAGTCACTTTCCTTCACTCAAAAACCAAACATGTTCCCTTTACAAAAATCACACCAAGTAACAGCTGCTAAAATGTCCATGAGTTTGTTAAATAAAAGCTAATTAACTTTATAATAGACCCACACTAATGGCTGCTCATGTTAATGTCTATAAAACTAACACTTGAGCTCATTAACGTGTTCCAAAATGCACCTCATCCCGACTGCATGAACATGGAAATTAAATGGTGTTTCAAATAGCTGATGAACACACAAGAGTTTTTTTCATCTCATAATGGAGGTCGTGAAAAGGTCTAATTAGAAGAAGTCATTTCTGGGGTTTGAAATGGTGGCTGATCTGGGAGTATAAGATTTCCTGCTGTCGGAGCACACAGAGTGAAAGCTATTCTTGTCGCTTCGACTTGTCCTGAAGAAGGAATCTGCTTATCTCCGACGTAGAGATAAAACAATCTTGCAGGGCAAAGTTGCACTTTGATACAAGCGGTAAAAGGAAGAAACCAGGAAAACATAAAACTCAGTCTGAGATGATGAGGTAAATTTTTTTTTTTATCTTTAGGAAGAAATTTAGAAATATTTTAGAGGAATATAAATGGCTCAAGTTACTGTAAATAGACGTTTAACCAAGAACCTAAAACAGCAAAAAGCTGAAATTAGTTAAGCTAAAAATAAAAACTAGCAAAACTGTAGCTAAAAGCTAAAATTACCTAAACGGTTGCACAAAGCCTAAATTAGCAAAACCTTAGATAAAAGTTAAAATAAGCAAAAACAGTAGCTAGTAATTAAAATTTCAAATCTGAATGCTAAAATTAGCAATAGCAAAAGTTAAAATTCGCAAAGTCAAATCTAAAGTTAAAATTGGCATAATCATAGCTAAAAGCTAAAATTAGCAAATGTAGCTAAATGATAAAATTAGCAAAACCTTAGATAAAAGTTAAAGTAAGCAAAAATAGTAGCTAGTAATTAAAATTTGCAAATCTGAATGCGAAAATTAGCAAACGATAGCAAAAATTTAAAATTCACAAAGTCGAACCTAAAGTTCAAATTGTCAAAATCATCGCTAAAAGCTAAAATTAGCAAACTAGCTAAATGATAAAATTAGCAAAACCTTAGATAAAAGTTAAAGTAAGCAAAAATAGTGGCTAGTCATTAAAATTTGCTAAGCTGAATGCTAAAATTAGCAAACCGCAGCTAAAAGCTAAAATTAGCAAAGTGTTGCTAAATGATAAAATTTGCAAAACCTTAGATAAAAGCAAAAATGAGCATAATAGGCAAAATAATTCAGGGATGCTGAAGAAGGTTTTAGAATAGTTTTAGAAAAATTTTAAGTGATCTGAATATATTTCTATTGAGAGAATTTGTGTGAATAAAGTTAAATAATTCAAAAAGTATATAAACTACAAAGAATAAGTCCTAGTACCCTATATCTTGTCAAAATAAACATTTTGATATGCGATTGTTTAAAATCGTACAAAACATGCAGAAGTTTGAGTACAGAAACATGAAGAAACTATAAAGAGGAAAACAATATCTGAATCAGCCTTTAGACAATGATTCTATTCATAAACAACTCGAATACAGTGAAAAGCATTGTAGGACAGTTTCTATTGCTAGTTTGTTGTGAGGCTCCTAGTTACCCACACCCTCAGCTGGTATGTTTAGTTCAGCTAAGGTGCAGTGCTGTGTCTGAGGGAGGTGTGAAAAGGCCTTCAGTTCATTACGAGTTCAGCTGCCAGGAATATTTGTGCGCTGTCGCAGCAGTTGGACATTTGTAGCTCAGAGCAGATGGATGGTGACGTGACTTTTTAACATGAGATAAGAGAGGAAGCTGCTCTTGTAAACACTGTGGCCACATGACAGGAGTTTAATATAAATATTGACCCGACGAGCACATGCTGTTATGTAATATGATCGAATTTAAAGATTAGTGCCCTGTATGTATGTATATATGTTTTTTGTTTTTCAACGCACCTCTCATCCGTTTGTTTGTGCAGCTGGAAGAGCTCAGCACCTCAATGTATCCTTTCCGTGAATTTCAGTGATCTGTTTTTACTTTGAAGTACCCGTGTGTGAATCCTTAACACGCCTGTGTTCAGACAAAAGCTCCACTTGGCTGAGAATCAGGACCTGCCCAAGACATCTGGACCCTAACAGAGCGGAGATGCTCAGGACTGCACTCATTCTCCCAACATCCAGCAAAGCCCTGGTTGCCATGGCATTAAACCTGCTGCCTTAGAAACTGAGTGGGAAGATCCAGTTTTATTTTATTATTTCATTTTGTCAGCGAAGCTGAGCTGAGGGGACATTCCTGTGACCGAATTTAGCAAAACATGAAATGAGTGATCAACCAAAAGTCATAAACGCCTCATTAACAGCACAAAATCCTGGATGGTCTACTGAACAGGAATGTGATAAAATATGTTTTTAATCGTTTTCATCATTTTTGATAAACTGGCTTATTTATTTGTCACATAGCTCCTGGTTTTCTGTGAAAATTCATACATTTATATCTCGTGTTTGTAGCATTCCTGCTGTGTTGCTTAATTTGTAGACGTATATGTATCTTTATGTAGTGGTAAGAGAACGGCACCATGTTGAAGTTGCAAATTTATTTGGCCTTTGAAGGCCACCAAGGTGTTTTCTGGAGCAGTTTCAAGGTAGCCTGAAAGCCCTGCTTTTTTACATTTGCTGCAAAAAATAGATTTAAGGAATAAAAAAAGATGCATTTAAAGAAGTTACTATACAAATTTGTTCCTTGTACGTGCATTGTTGCAACGTTTTGATCATGTGGTAACCAGGTAATTTGTAAATGTCTTTTTTTATTTTTTAACAAGGTTCAGCAGGCAGTGTCTTTTCTGTGCTTCAGAGGTTTAACACAAAATATTTTACAACACTTCTTTCATCCAACCGTGCTGGAAAGCATGTGCACAGTCTACTGCAGCGGGCATAAACCTACAGCGCTATTTCAAAATGGCAGCTACTTTCATCGTTCAATTACTGAATAGTTTTTAATTTGATTCAGTGTGAGTAGGCCGTTACGTTCCACCTCTGACAAGCCGATTACAAAAATAGTTAAATTATGTATTTGAAAGAGTAAGGGTTATTTTGGCTTGCTTAGTTTTCATTTTAAAGATCTTTGAGTACGAGACATTTTTTCGTCTGGTGACTCAAATTCTTTGGTCTGCTTTTTTTATTTATTACATGTAAAGAGGGCTCAATCAAAATGGAAACATACAATCAGCTTTATGTAACAAAAAAAGTATCAAACTTGTTTTCAGCAACTACACTTCTCAATAAATACTGTTTATGTAACAAAGTATTGTTTCTATGACTGACTCAGAACGCAGACGGCACTCCTTTATTTCTATTTTCTAAAATCAATTTATTCGTTATTGATTCGACCGGGGTTTACTTTACTTCCTTGTTTCTCAAATTGTGATACAAGTGCTGGTACTACTGGTGGTACTCTGGAGAATTATTGGTATCAAGTTGAAGAACAAGCTAACAGTGATGGAAAGAAATATAAATGAGATAACCAAAGAAAACAAGTGGCGCAAACAAAATAAAATTGTTGCTTTAAATGGAATTTGTTTAAAAATGGAGTATATTTTGAAAACCTCTGAGGAAACTGAAGTGGATGAAAGCCAGGCGAGGTAATGTGCAAGCAGCATCAGAGACGTCTATAGGAATTTTTGGAGAAAACTGCACAATATAGAAATTTGATTTGGGCTATTTCACATTGGTAATAAATTGTGAGGAAGTGACATGTCCACATAGACTGTGGTGCTCTTCTCTACAACAAATGCATCTTGCATCTTAAACGGTTTGTCTCGTATGAATATAAGCTTGCACTGTATAACAAGTCATAATAAGTTTTAAGTGTTTTGTGTTGTCGTCATTGCAAGTTCCCATACAATGACAAAATTGTTTCTCTGCATTTAACCCATCGCACCTGGGATACACCCAGGTGGAGCAGTGGGCAGCTATTGAGCGCCCAGGGAGCAATTGGGCATTGGGTGTCTTGCTCAGAGACACCACAACATGGGAATGGCTGGGAGTCGAGCCGCGTTCCCAACCATGATCCTTGAGGAACGCCATCCTACATGTTTTAGTTGTTTTCCTGCTCCAACACCTGTTTAAGTGATTTTATTACTTCAAGTTCTGCCAAAGCCTGCTAATCACCCGTTCATTTAAATCAGGTGTGCCAAAGCAGGAAAACAATCGAAACATGCAGGATGGTGTTCCTCAAGGACCAGGGTTGGGAACCACTGCGTTTGGTGGTACTTCAAGAGCTTAGTATAAACTGAGGGGGAACTCATTACATGTTTCAAAATCACAGCTTTACTTGAAGGTTATTTATCGTTAAGGAGTTGATTATGAAGGGGAACGTTGCTAATGTGTGTGACATCAAACGTTTCCAGTCCTGAAAGGAAGCACACTGAAGTTAGATTTAGAGAAATAAATCTGTTTATTCATATACGTCTTTCCTCTTGTTCACAAAGCATTTAAATATAATTTAACAACAGTTGAATTAAAAGGCTATTAGAAGACTGGCACGATACTGAGAAAAAAACAGACCAGGCTTCTCAATGTTTCTCAGGCAACAACTAGAGTAAAACTCCTCTTCTTTTTCTTTCCTGCTGCTCCCCCATGAAGGTGCAGCAAGTAAAACCAAGTTTGATCTAGGCATTAGTGTACGCACACATTTCATTGACAAAAATACAGTTTTGATTCTGCCAAATTTGGTCATGCAATAAAACAAAAATGGGACAAACGGTACCAACTCAACACATCATTAAAGACTTTCCAATAGATAAATTATAACTGAAACATCGTACACGACACTAATACTGTGCAAATACACAACTGAGCTGTTCCAAAATGCTTTGTACTAATATTACATAAATCATCTATGACATGTCAAAAATATCACGTCAGCAAAAATATACACCTTTAGGTTCCCTGTCTTCCTCTTTTTTTTGTGCATTTCAGTTTTACATTCTGTAATAGTGTCTGATTTGTCAACAGTACGTGATGGAGGAAAGCTATGACGATAAGCTACTTTTCAAAGTGCAAAGAGAGCAGGCTGTGTTTGTGTAAGACCTGATGTCCACGTGTTACAATGTTTCTGTGCCAGAGGAAATGTCACTGATATGAGTAGGAGCAACTTGAAAATGTAAGGACTTTCTTCTTATTGATATAAAAGTGCAGGCACTATAAGAAATGTGGAACATCTCTTTCTTCAAGTAAGGTCAGTGTTAATGTTCTCTTTCACGTCTGGATTCTGCTTTTCTTAGGATAGGGTCCTCAGGATCTCATTTAGACCTTTGAGGACACTGGCAGGCTGGGAGGCAGCACACTCACTCAGGCTTGGCCCCATCTGGGTGTAAAGGGCTTGGCACAGGTTGGCCGTGGCACCCCTTATGCTGCCGCCTCTGCCATGAACGGTGCCGCTGTGGGTCGAAGTGCCCAGGAGGTGCCATAGTAAGGGCAACACTTTCTGCTCAACCATCTGTGGCTTGCGAGGGTAGAGTTCTGTTACGAGGCCTGGAGATGATAAAAAAAATGTATTCAAAAAGAGATGTCTCAAACACCAGCAGATTAAAGCATTAAGAACTGCTGCACCAGACGAACCTGCAACCTTTTCGATTAGGTCCACCTTTGCTTTACCACTTAAAAATTGTGCCTTGGTGCAAAAAGGCTGTAGAAGTAGAATGTTGTCTGTGAAAGGTAAAAAAAAAAAATAAAAAACAAAAACAACACGGATATCATTTATTACATCAACATTAACTCTAATTTTCAGATGTTCAAAATGAGTACCGAGATTTAAAGTAAGGGCATCGATAGCTCCGTTAGCAGCAGAACAGATGGCATTATTCTTGGAGTTGAGGTGATTGTCCACGATTGCTGGGACCAGGATGTTGACAGCTTGGGACAAGCTGTCCTTCAGCAAATAAATGATTTTCTGCAGAGACTCCAGGGCGTAAAGGTTAACCTTGCTGTTGGACTCCTGCAGTCTGGCTTTGAATGCATCAAACACCTACAAGACAAGAAGCAGAGGGAGGAGCATTCAGTCTGTTAGTCTATTCACTTAAAAAAGTATTGCATGTTAATAATTAAGAACCAAAACAATGCTTGTTATTACAAAATGCTTGCACTAACTGGGAATAGACTATTGATGACCATGTTGGGGTTGTGTTCACAGTCAGCCACCAACTGGTCGATGCCTTTGATCCGCTCTCTGAAGTCCTTTGAACCCAACAGACCTGAGATCTGCTTAATGTACTCCGTTTTATCAGCAATACTTTGTGTCTGATATTTGCAGCTGTAGCGGCTATTCGACTCCCTGCAGATGATTGAAAAGCATTGAAAGTTTCGATGTAAATACATGCGAGTATATTTTAGTTCATGACAGTTTGTAATTTCAGATCTGTACCCACTTGTTGGTCTGATTGTTTGGTTCTCCGTTGAGAGATGAAGCCCTGACCGTCCCACTGCCTGGAAGGGAGCGTCTCCCTCTGGCCGACTGAGTGTCTTGGGCCATCTCACCAAGGCCCTGAAATCCCAGCAACCTCCAGGTTAGATAGATGTGTTTGAGGCTTCTTATTAGTAAATCTTGCTGTGCTACATATAGAAACTATACCTTTGTCTTGAGAGTTATAAGAGTGTCTTTAACAGTCTGCAGGTTTTTGGTAGGAATATATTTCTCCAAGATCTTGTCAAAGTCAGAATAAGATGACAACGACAGCAGCATTCGACGACCAAAGTACCTGTTGGGTGAAACGGTGTCTGAAAATATTCCTGGTACTTATGTTCTTATATGGGGAAAAAAAACCAAATAAACTTATAAGTCTAAACTGGCTGTAAATATTAAAACAGAGCGACATTTAACCTTTCATACCTGGTTTCTTGGGAGGAGTCTTGTGTAAGTTTAGTGATGGCAGGTAAAATTCTCTCTGTGAGATCTTTGTTTCCTGACAGGAGTCGTGCAGCACCAACCTTCTCTACCAGATTAGCCAGATGTTGAGCTGCACACTTCCTCACCACTGGATTAAGGTGACTGTCAGCAAAGAAGAAACCGGATAAGCAATCAAACAATACGCATTTAAATGTTACAATCAAATCTGGTGAAAATGTATTTTTTTCAGTTTGTATCAGAACCTCAGTCCTCCAGTTAGTAAAGCAGCAATGCAACGAGTCGGGGTGCAGTGCTGCACCATGCAGACCAGTGCTGCATCCACATCCTGCCTAATGAAGGCATTACTCTCCCCTGCCTTATGCAACAAAGCTTTAACTGTCCCCTCCAGTTCCTGGTCCATAGCCCTCTGCAGATGTGTGTACAGGTCACCAAGTGTACACACTGCAACCCTGGACACGCCTGATCGCAGGTTCTTCACCTAAAAGAAAGAACGACTTCATTTATTTATTGAAAAATAAAGGTATTTAAGCACAAAACAAAACAACAAACGAGTAAAAAAATAATTTTCTGTGACAGCCTAAAGATGACTATACATTTTTAAATTTGATATATTTATTACTCAACAGCTAATAGGTTTTATTCCAAATAATTGTTAAAAAAAAATTGTCTGAGCAGTTGTTTTAATCACCTACAGATGGCAGAAAAGCAGCAGCAAACGGGCAGTGAGGAGGTGATGAATTTGTCTAACAGTTGCAAATTGCTGATAATTTAGAGATTTGGCAACGCTATCATGTTCGTGGTTTTCACCTGAAGGAGTGATATATGTAAATTACCGACTTTGTGAACAAAAAGAACATTTATATTTCATCCAGGGCAAGAGGGATGACATCTTACATTATGTAGGACATAAAGCTTTGTTCTGTCAATGTTTGAATGAACATAATTAGTGCCAACAAGTCCAGGATTTTCTGTTCTAGATGTTGAAAGGTCTCTGCTTTCAGATGGAAGATTAATAAAATTCAATTTTGGGAAACTTTTTTTTTAATCTTAAGCCAATATATATCCGACCAAGTGTTTTCTCTGATGACATTTGAACAAACCACTGTATTTTTCGTTGTATAAGTTGCATTTTTTTCACATAATTTGCATGCCCTGCGACTTATATGCTGAAGCAACATATTTATGGATTTTTTCCCATATTTATAAACCAAATTTTGGTTGAGATATGACCGTTTTCATTCATTCTGACTGAAAATATTGAACACTACCATTTTTCAGCTGCTAGATGGCATCAGAGTTGTATGGCATGCCGTTGTGTCAAGTAATAGGTACCAGTGGCTATTAATGACACAGCTGGCTTGCCACAGCCTGCCACTTTCGTCCAGCTCACTTGGAGCAACTGTCAAATCAGCTTCATTTCGCTGCGCTGCCCCAGTGAAATGCAGCTAATGTGAACACTGAAGTGCATTTATTAAGTAAAAGTTAAACTGAGACACACCTTTGCTATAATTTCGAGCAAACAAATAATTGTTTTTCAGTGTTAATCTTGTTAAAATCCTCCCGCGCACGCTCTCGCGGCCACCATTTGGCAGCCAATCAAATTATGGCACAACACCGGCCCACATTTTCGGTTTGTCAGTGGTGACGCGTAATAGATGCGACGTATTTATGGATTTTTCCACTTTATTAGACATTTTTGGACTGATCTGACTAATAGGGTGGTGCGACGTGTACGGCGGAAAATACGGTACATAGAAATTGAATAGACAACTGAAGTTATTAGCAGCAAAGCAGGACAGAACAATGTTACCTCTTGAGTGAGAAACAGACAAACTTCATGCAGCCGGCTTTGAAGCGTGTCTGAGTGGTTGTAGGCCAGAGAGCGCAGGAACTTTAGACCCTCAATCTTCTTTTCCCTAAAAATAATACAAACATGAACCAAGGACATTTCTTTATTTGCTGTTAAATTTAACAAACTTTAAAAATAGTTGGATAGTATGTTTTTTCAAAATGTTTATGAACCTTTTAAATTGTCAAAAGTGAGAAACTTTCCTTCAAATGAACGCTTATGCCATGACTGAAACCTTAGATGAGGGTTTTAAGTATGACTGCAGGAAGATGAAGCGTTTCTCACCAGTCCTCTGAGCTCAGCAAGTTGAAACTCTGAGTGAGCGCCAGGTCAGGCTTTGAAAAGGGGCAAAGGTCTGGAGGCTCTGAGAGATTCTTCTTTCTTATTGTAGCATGGCACAGTTCATCTAAATGTGCAGCCAGACACCAAACAACACAGCATTGTTACATCTCATGTTACATCTCAAAAAGTCCGAAAACAAGAAGTGAATGTAGGCAGCGGTACACTGACAATAGTTTGTCAAAACAAAGCATTATTAAACAAATGTATAGTTGAACACTGGTTTTCCAATTAAATATCAAACATTTTCTTTCTGTTAAAACACTGCTTCATCTATTTATAACGTGGCCGGACTGTGATCAGTCATCATGACATGTATGATGTTTTAGTCTCTTCGATCCACAGACCTGAACTGTGAGACAGTGAAGGTCGGGTTCTGGTGAGGCTAGGCGCCCTTCTAAGACGGGACACATTTTTTGGGTTGGGAGGCACTGCAGGGGGACTTGGTTGGTGGGGTGGAGTTAAACACTTTCTTGGACTTTGAGGTCCCGGAGGACTGGTGGGGGATTCATCAGAGAGAAGGTCCGCTTTGGTAGATGTCAATATGCTGTCATTCAGAGGTAGATCTAAACGTGAAAACATCAATCATTTAAGTTTTTGTTTACAAATATATATATATATATATATATTTTTTTTTTTTAATAATTATAGTCAGAATATGCTATATGAAAAAGATGCATTTTAGACTAATCAAATATAGTGGGTTATAGGGAATTTATTAATAATTTTTAAAGAAATAAGGAAGATACTTGATTTTAGGTGCTAAAACATGTCCCACCTTTTATGATCAGTTCTTTATTTTGTTCTGTAGACGAATCAGAAAGCATCTGTTTGACACGAAGGCGAATCCTCTCTTTTGTTTTGTCCTCTTGGCCTGACTGTCCCTCTGGTTGATCGAGTCCTTGTTGCCTTGTTTTATCCCGACCAGTCCTCAGATTTTTCACCCTCCCCTGCACATTTCAGGGAAAACAAATTTAAACTCCAGTCATTTGAACCTTTCAATGAAGTAGTGTGACTCGACATTTGTTCAAAGTGTGACTAACTTTAGCCCCATGTGGACGTGGGCTGTTGTCGCTGTCAAGCTGACTGCTGTAAATGCCTGCTGAGGGATCAGTGGAAGGTTTGGCTGCCAAATCACCCTGCTCGAGTGACAAAACGACTCCTGGAGAGGTGGAGGAAATTGAGGTGCTCAACATGCCTACAAAGATGAGGGATGCTCTCATAACTTAAAATCAATTTGATGCACGAGTGAAAAGATACACACTGCAACGTGAACAAGTAAATAAAAAAGGCTATTTTTAATAGCCATGATTCTGTTATATGTTTAAAATTGTCATTTTTTTGTGCATGTACAATGTTTAATCTTATCTCAGCTAATCAATATGAAGAATTGTTCTTTTTGGAGGGAGGATGTAAAGAAATAATTCTAAAAAAGTTAAATCTGGTCCTCTGGACATTCAAAAAAACAAAACAAAGCAAATCAACAAAAAATGTAGAAACGTTTCGTCTCTCATCCGAGAGACATCCGCAGTCAGGACCAGATTTAACTTTTTTAGATTTTTCTACCTGGATTATTGAGCATGCATCAGGATAAAAGAAATAATTGTTTTCATAAAAAAAGACAGAGCTGCAGGAGTGTAAAGCATAAAAAGAAGCTCTTAATATTATTATAATCTATTCTAGTAGATTTTTTTTTACTTAAAGCCTAATGGATCAGCAGAAACTGACCTCTTCCTATCACTCCTTCAGGCATGTCTGCACCAGGTGAATTCCTGCTGTTGTTGTTACTCTGGGATACTAAAATTTAAAAAGACAGAAATGGCAACTCTTTGAAAAAGTACACACAGAGTATATACAGATTTTTTTTTTCTGTTTGTTGAGGCACACTGACCTTTAGCAAGCTTTATAGCTCTGACTGAATCCTGGACGGCTGATTTAACTAGTGGAGGGGACAAACCCATGTTCTCTTCCTCAGTTTTGATTGTTCCGTTGCAACAAGTAACCCTCTGCCCAACGACACCCACCTCGGATGTCAGCTCATTTCTCTGGTACATTCCTTGAAAAGATAGAAAATAAAGTCCGATGGAGAACAAAACAGCATAACAGGCAGAACCCATTTAACTTATTTTATACCTTGAAGACTACTGAAGTCCATGGATACAGAAGACCTCAGTGTTGCAGAAGGCACCCTTGCAATGCGAGGTTTCATTACAGAAGAGGCAGAATTTCTAGGACTGTTGACAGACATGAAATATATGCAGGGAAATTAACTGCTTTGCACAGTATGAAATGTGATCAAACTTTTCAGTCTGTCTGTGACATTTAATATTTAATGCAGCAAAAAGAACGTTACGTTATATTCCAGCATAAAGTAAGCCTTGTTCAAATTACACATAACCCAGGCAGAGTAACAAGTTATTAAATAATAAATGAAAGAGGTGACAAAATGGGGATCTCTGACCTGGTTTTCAAGCCACTGAAGCTTGAGTTGGCAACTGAGATCAGACTGGAAAGTCCACTCTCACTCGCTGAGCTGGTAAGCACTGGAGAGGTGTGTAATGGTGAGTCTAGACCCAAGTCCAGCTTCACAGCTGAATCTGGGCTGTCTGGATCTAGATTATTGTGGCTCACTTTGGCCCTCTTCTTGGCAGCGCTATTCCGCAAAGAGCGTAGGGAGTTCAGCATCTGCGAACAACATTAAAAATGAGTACAACGATCACCTAACTTTAACAGTGTGGACTACAGACACACAGTTTCTCTGACCTCCTGCATGTCCAGGGGTTCATCTTCCTGAAGATCTTGCCAAGCACCAATGCTATCAGAGTCCATCTGCAGGTTCTGAGGGCTGGCTGAAGTATTGGATTTTTGACCATTATAACCTTTATGACCTTGTTCTGCTGGAGGGAAAACTGGTGAGATGGAGAAGGTTGCTCTGGTGTTGCTCAGAGCTCGCCTGAAGGATGAGGTGGAAGAGGAGCTCACGAGAGGGGCTCGAAGAGGCCTGGGTGAGCGTCTGCTGGAGAGCTCTTCTAGGATAAGCAAGACAAAAACACAGCTAACCCCAAACATAGACAAAACATTTTAAATTCCACTGAGAAATAGGCACACATGAATAGTTGTGTTACTATATTACCATTACCTGTGCCTGCGGTCTCTGACCAGGAGCTAGTTTCTCCCCGATGAGGGCTGTTCTCTCTCTTGTAGGGCCAGGTGTTTGACATGGAGACAGGAGAGTCTGCATGATGATGGGACAGTGTTGGAGTAAGCATGAGCCCTGTGCATGTAGCCAGAGGGTAGGAGGGCAGAAGGAAGGAGCCAGGCGTGGAAGGGTTTGAGGGGAGGGAAAAAGTTCGCTCAACACTGGGGTTCCTTGAGAGCATACGTCCTTTGGGTGTCACTATAAGATATTGCGTTCACAAATCAAACAAAAACAATAACTTTAAATATATAATAAATAAATTCAAGTAACGACTCCTTACCAACATCTGTGTTGGTAAAGCTTTTGGTTTTAAAAATATCAGCGTCTAAGTTAAGGCTTCCACTTCTTCTGAGATTTGCTGGGGTCTCTCTCCTTCTGGAAGGCTGGGGCTTCTCTGGCTCTGCAGAACCTAGACAGAAAGTGCATTTTCACTAAAACACAAATGCAAAGTAGGGTTTCATCATGTTATCTACAAATCAAAATCACAACGAGCTTGAATATAAAAAGTTACACTGCAAAATGTGCAGTTTTAAGCAACGCAAACTTGCTCAAACCTGACTTAAAATGAAAGCAGCATTGAAGGAAAGTATGTCGCCCACTGCCTTGCACCCAAAGTGTGTGATGGGGATGAGCCTCAGGTACTACCACACCAAACTTTAGCTTAAAATCTGCAAAAATGTCTGCGTTGGAACCATTTTTATGTTTGCTACTTGCTATTAGGTGTGGCGGCCATAGTGAATCAGGCTGACTTCGAAAGTTTTTCAGCTTCAGATGTACAGTATATCCAGTGATTACTTTCTAACAGTTTAATAAAAAGTCTCATAAGATATTTTTCTAATAGACAAGTGACCATGCACATAAAGACACAGATACATAATTGTCCTCCTTTCAACGCAGTGAGCGATGAAAACATGGAGTGCTGCTAACGATTTGTGTGAGGAATAGGAATGGTAAATGGACTGCACTTATAGCACCTTTCTATCTTATCGAGATATTCAAAGCTCTTTAAACTACAATCTGTGTCCTCATTTACCTATTCATACAGCAATCTACTATAGCTATACAAAGATTAATCAGTGCTTTACACTACATTCATACACCAATGGGAAACACATCGGGGCAATGAGGGGTTCAGTGTCTTGCCCAGGGACACTTCAGCATGTGACTGCTGGTGGAATCGAACCCCCAACTCCTGCATTGCAGGACAACTGCTTTAACCACTCAGCCACAGACGCAGTGTTGGAGTAAACATGAGCCCTGTGCGTGTAGAATAGGAGAAAAAATAAAAAAATACTCACAAATATGGAATGTAGCAGAAAGCTACCGGTAACTTTGCAATCAATATGACAAAAATATCAGAAGATCAAACAGACCTGTATTTTACAAAGAAAATGGTGATGCCCTGTACTGAGCCTTAACCTTGTTGTTATGGGTTCTAATGTTACAGAAAAGCTGGAACATTCATGCAGTTAAATGTATCTCTCAGGAGGTTCTTCTCTGGTGTTGAGTGTCTTGAAATCAGTGGTATATTAGTAAAAGTCTACCATGTATTTATTTATTTATTTTCAGTTTGTGGACAATTTCTGTAATTGGTTTGATAGTCCTAATTTCCCACTTTGCCTCCTCTGTCACAGTGCGAGACTGGTATGGCCAAGCAGCTTTGAACTTCTCTTATCTCAGAGCTTTTAGTGGCATTTGGAATGGTGACTCCTTTAACTCAGTATGATAATCCAAATTAAAACTGCTCTAAATTGAGTCAAGCTAAAGTTGACCATGACAGTCAGTCATCTGTGTTAGTCTCACGCACGAGGGGTTGAAATGTTAAGAGATCTCCTGGCACTTACTGAAACTTGGTATGTAGGTCTCTGGCTTCGTAGAATGAGGTAAGTAATCCTCACTTGACACCTAGAATCAGGCAGAAGTACAATTATTTTAAAAGCAGCAGCAATATCAGCTACAGTTCAAGTAACTAGCCTAACCATAAACACAACAAGGGCTTCTGTGTAATTCCATCCTATAGACTAAACAAAAGGATGTAGATACATATTTCAAACAAAATACTGCAATCTGTGGGTGTCACTTCCATGTATCTGCTGGATGTAAAGCCTACAGTAAACGTAAATAAGATGCAAAATCACATTTAAGACAGATTCAAATAAATGTATGCTTTTCCATTTTTGAAATAAAACAGTAAAACTGAACTCCCATAGCCTACAATCAGATCAACACCCACTGCAGAGCACTTGGGGTGAGTGCAATCAACAGCAGAGAATTAAACAAGCTTTTTTTTTTTACACCCTGTGATATAACCAATTATGTTTCATCACCTCTCCAGTATGTGCTTTCCATGTTACTGGTGTTGCTGGGAAACAGATATCCCTGAAAACAGAAGTTTTTTTCTTTTCCAAATGAGGTGTGAGATGGAAAACAGTTGACAAAACTATTTATAAGAAATACCTCGTAAAACAAAGCTACATGCCACAGCAAATGGATACTTGTAAATAAAGCAGATGGTGGCAGACGTATCCTGTTTCTAAACTTAGATAACAACAAATATTACTTGAATAGCTATAAATGAATACTGTGACTACAAGGCATATTCTCAAAATAGTTTCTGCTCATCTTTGCAGCAAGTGTTGATGTGCAAGAAAATGAGTCATCCAATGTATTTCCAGCAGGTATAGTGCCAGGGATACTGCAAAGTGTTATACATCTTTCTGTTTATCCCACGTATTAGAATCAAATATTTCAACTGCATTCCTAAAAATAAATTATGTGTTTAAGGATGCATGCATGACTCATACATGTAAACAGAAAATTAACAAAATAGGATAAACCCCTCCCTCAGTGCTGCTGCTCTCGAAAATTGACTCTATATTTAGAGATTTTTCACCCCAAACTGTCTCTGAGGAAAGTGCTACCACGAAGACTTTCTTGCTCTGTACACTTTCTTCTCACGTAAAAATACACTCTGAATGAGTCAAACCACATTTTAAGTCTTTAAATTTATTAGTCAACAACATTTTTACTAAAGCCATTATGATATTTTGTCTATGAATAAGAATAGATGAAGAAGATGCAGCCGACAAGTGATGAGATCGGTTTTGAAACCTCTTCAGTAAGATGGATAAGAACACTATTGTCATTCGCACCTCATGTGGTACATGTGGTGGAGCGAAATTATGTACACAGGGTCCCAGTTACATCCAACAATAAAATTTATAAATTATGTCAATTAATGGGCTAATTTATGTCATTTCCTGAAAATAGTGGTTTCCAGTCATTTGTCTAAAACCATCTGCAAATTTTCCATTGTCACTTGAATTGACTGTATTCATTCATTCAACCTTTATTTAAACAGGTTAATCCCATTGAGCCTCGGGGACTCAATTGCAAGAGACACCTGATTTCTTAACAAAGAATGATGACAACAGTGAATAACAAAGACAATGATTGACAGTCATAAAATAGGCATAGGTTCACAAATTTAAGTTTCTCTCTCTTTTTTAACAAATCAAAACAAAATAGCAACCAAAAGGACAATCAAGAGGAATAGTAGCAAAAAAACCAGCTAGATTATAAGGCGATTTAGAACACTAATAACAGGAACATGTCTGCAGTGGTTTTTGCCAGGAACTTAACAGATGTTTAAAGTCACTTAGAGAGGTCAAGGCCGAGCGCTTCAGGTCTTTTTGCAAGTATGTCTATAAGATCTGAATAAGATATCTGAATAGCAACAATAAAAATATATATAATAATGCCATCCTAAACCACAGTTTAACTCATTTGAGGTGATTTTTGTCTGTTTTGAAAAACTCATACACTAGCACTTTTTTATATATGAAATATCTCAAATATCCACAAAGATAACTATTCCTTGAATAAACACTCGTTGCATTTCCTTCCTGTAGAAGTTTGCTGAGTTCCTATTTTTCTCCATAAGATGTTTTTTTTTCCTTAATGAAAAAGTGCTAGATTTGCACTTTTTTTCAGCTGCTTACTTCAGATTTATTTTACTAGTGGCTTTTACCAAAACAATATAGTCAGCTATCAAAAACAAAAAGCAAAGTTAATTGAATAGTAATTACAATGAGAGAAACGTGAGAATATGGTGATAGGCCAATGAGGACAAAGCTCACCTGTTCAGAGAACTTGCCGTTAAGTGTGCTGTACTGTTGCTGCTCGCTGTCAGTCGATGAGAAGCTTGATATCTCCCAAGGTAGTTTGTTCTTCCCTTTGCCTGCACTGACGATTCTTCTTTGAAGTGGTAGGTCATCGGTGAGAGAGCCTAAGCTGCCGTACCCATACAATCGGTTGCTGTCTGGCTCTGCTTTGTAGCTCCTGGCACTGCTTATCCGCCCTCCATTTATCACCCAGTCCAGATCCGCTCCAGAACCGTACTGCACTGAGGACCACTGTCCAGGTTTGGGCACCACCAAACCATACTCCACAGTCCCCTCCGAGGTTAGTTTTGGAAGAATGTGTCTGGTTCGTCTCGCCTGTACAGCTGCCATCAGACCCTCTGCATCCTCGTTAAGTTCTACCATGTCCACAGCTTTCATTAGCGGCTGCTTTCTCCCTGTGTCCAGGCAATGGTCAAAAACAGCAAACAGCTCCAGGGCAGCGTGGCGGACCTTCCTTTTACTGTCTGCTAAGTAGGGTGCAACCTCAAAACAAAGCTTGGGAATGTTGAAGTCTTTCCTCGGATGAGTAAGCATAGCTGCCATGATGATGTTAAGGACATCTTCCCGAACTCTAGAGTTTTTGTGTTTCAAGTTGCCAATGACGAGATCCAAAACCTGCTGCGGTGGGACGGTTTTCATCAATTGTTGAAACACATTAAGGTATTCATTCCTGGTGACAGCACGAGTGTCACCAAGAACCTTAAGGGCAACTAAAACAATATGTTTCAAAAATTTATCTACACCCGTCTCTAACTTCTGAATTAGTAAGTTTAAAACTTTTAAGGTGCCATAGAGCACTTTAAAATTACTGTCATCTAGAAGTCTTGGAAGAAAATTGATGAACTCCTCGATACTAGCAGATGGGACCGACTTGATGTCCACTTCTGAGAGGATATGTTTAAGCTTTTCCACCCCATTTGTGCGATTCTGGTAATTCCTCAGGTCCAGAAGCTGGTCATGTAACTCTTGAGAGATCAATCCAGGTATCATTATTAGTGGTCTTTTGGATGTGTCACATTGGAGAATCGAAGGAGGCAAACAGAATCCAACGAGGACAGAAATGTTCCTCCCCTTTACTTTGTGCTTTCATCTTTGGCAGATGGTGATGGAAAACTGCAGTCCTGTGTGTCAAGCTGTATGACTGTAACACACGGAGAGAATAAACAGTCAATGCAACACTCAACTACAGAGGTCCTGAAGAAAAAACACCACACAAAGCAACAAAACAAAAATAGAAACAAGAGACAAGAGAAATAATGCGAACTAATAACAAGAGTTGATATTTATATGGTGTCCTTGATTGTTCTCGAAACTTAAATAGTTTGTTACATTAAATTTACGTTTCACAGAATATCTCATTAAGCCTACAAAGCACTGAGAAATCACTGAATATGTAAAGTAATAACTCACCACACAAAGAGAAAATATGCAAAAAATATTTTAATTATTTTTAAAAAGCTATAAAATTTTATGTTAAATGATTTGCTTTAAAACAGTTGTGTAAATAAATGTAAATAGTACAAAGTACAGTGAAGGCCTAAAATACTCCTAAATTGTTAAGTTACTTTAATGATATTTATTATTTATTAATTGTTATTATTGTTGTAGAGTCAGAGAGATTTATTTGTCATACACACTTCATGTGGTACATGTGGTGGAACGAGATTATGTACACAGGGTCCCAGTTACATCCAACAGTAAAATGTAAAAAAATAAAAATAAATCAGCAATAAGATCTAAGATATGAATTAAGAAAAACATAAACTAAATATACACTAAGCACTAATAGCATAAACACAATAAAATCAATATGCTGAACAGCAGCCTGAACATGAGTCAGTGTGAGCAGATGTGCACGAATGAACACAGCAACATGAAACAGATCAGCAGCAACATGAAACAGATCAGCAGCAACATGAAACAGATCAGCAGCAACATGAAACAGATCAGCAGCAACATGAAACAGATCAGCAGCAACATGATGTGATTTTTTCCACAGTGATTATTCTGGTTAGAAATTCATGAGTTTAACAGCCTCAGGGTAGAAGCTGTTCCTCAGTCTAGTGGTTCTACACTTAATACTCCTTAACCTTCCTGAGTGGAGCAGAGCAAAAAGTGTGTGTGCTGGGTGAGTGTGGTCCTTCATGATGCAGGTGGCCCTCTTCCTGCATCTAGGTTGCATCTAGAGGTGTAATGTCTGTGATGGTGGGGAGGCTGACTCCAACAGACTTCTGTGCAGCCTTATTATCCAATTCATATTTTTAACTTTGTATTTGCAGTACTCCTAAATTTAACAAATAGTGCTTCTCTACCAAACACCCTGAAAAATATAGGCAACACACCCAAAAAAATCAACAAAAGAAATCTAACTTATAAAAAATGGTAACAAAAATAAAAACAAATAAATTACTTTGTAAATGTGGCGTCCAAAAATGGCCATTTTTTGCAGTTTCTCGTGTATTTACTAAGAATTTATTTGTATTGAAAATATATAAATGTATATTTAATTACTGCACTTTGTGTTGTTGCGTTAGCATCAGTTTAAATTGTTGTGCTTTGCTCCTCTGGAGCATTCATTAAAGGTCCAGTGGTATTTCTCGTTCAGCATCTGACAACACAATTTAAGTAACAGCTCCTTAAATTCATAAAACATACACGGATGAGTACAACCACTTGTGGCTCTCGGTTTTTTTTTTTTTTTTTTAACGAACTGGTTCAGGTAGCTTGTACTGTCAGAAAATGCCTCCAGTAAGAACAATTTCCAGTTATCTAGCAGACGTTTATCTGCATTATTAGCCTCGGTATTTAGCGCTGGAACAGCGTGTCTTACGCTCATTTTGACCGTGTTTAGTGCGAACTATCTGGGCGAGCAAAGTTAGAAGACGAACCTTTAATTTTTCCCCCTGGCCCTCCTCGAACACCATGGAAGAAGAAACTACTGCTCCGTCGTCGTCATGTCAGGCGGCGGCAGCGACGGTTCGGTCCACAAACGGAGACATGTCTTCTTCTTTCAGCCGGGTCTGAAAGTGTTGACTGTTTGGAAGCTGTATGGAGGTATTCGCCTCGAAAGGAGCCCCCCCAACACACACACACGCAGCGAGGCAGCAAAATGGCGAATGCATGTAGCAAACTGAGCGCTTCCATGGTGACGCGCGCGAGGTCCAAGCTCCTCGAGGCGGAAACATCATCATCATCACTACAGAGCTGCGGCAGGATGAAGAGCAGCGAAGAAAACACGTAGAACAAAATATAAAAATTTAATTGAAAGAATTATATTTTTAAGTAATTTGTGTTTTATACTTGGCGCGTTTCGTGTAGTTTTTATAACTTAAAAGTACCTTTTTATACAATCAGAATTTTTCTTCATTTCCATAATGGTCAAAGGAATTCATGCTTTTCAACTTGTTTATTTGCTCTTTTGTCTCTGTGTACCATTTATATAAAACCCAACTGACGAGAAAACATATTTTATTATTTAAATGGTAAAGTTATGTGAATTTAAAGGGGAACTATTTTGTCAAAATGTCATATTCTGTTTTTTTGTTCGTTTATTAGTTTGGACTGATACCTGTTGGAACACATTGTCTTATTTAACTGTTATTGTAGGTCCTAATAATGTATTTTACTTGCCAAATTTGTCTTTTGATGTTAAACTTTCTGAGTTGTGTCCTAATTTTATTATTACAGGCATGCATAAGGTTTAAAATATGAAATGTATTACTCTTAATGAGTTTAAAACAAAGTAGCTCAACTTTTTTTCTGTTTATTGGAGGCACTGCTATAATAAATAAGTATAAAAGGTTAAAACAGATTAATATATTTACCAGTAAATTGTTATTGTATAATTGTGAGAGGGTGATTCTCTGAATTCGGTGCACTTTAGGTTCTGAAAAATATACCACAAAAAATTGTGTTTCTGAGCATTGCATCTACTGAATGACTATCTGAACCTCTGAGAAAATGTTTTCCCAATTCCCACCTTATGCATGAAATCCCAAACATTATTACGAATTTCTTTGTTACTGTCACGTTTCTGCTCCAACCTGCCATATTTCTCTTTTCATTCATGCCCTGGTTTATGTTACAAAGTCTCTGTAATGCCTATCACCCATCCTGCTGCACTTCCTGCTCTGCTCGCTTAACCACATCCACTCTGCTCACCCACTCATCTTCACCACGGGTGAAGTCACCAGAACAAACTCCTTCAAGGAACCGCTCCCTCATCTGTTTGTGAAGGTCAAAAAAATGCATAACAATGTATCACGTAACAGGGTTGAATGACCACATTTAATAATTAGAATTGACTTTAATAAATTCCTTAAAACAAATGAAACAATATATGTAACATTGTTTAAAAGTAACATCACATTTAGACTGAACAGTTCTGTTTTATGAGTAGAAAAAAATGAAGGACAACGTATGAACACTATACAAAATTTTCACTGGAATCAGTTTAACACTGTAACAACTGACATGTCACAACAAAGGATATACACTTAACTATAAATGTTAATATTATAATAATTTTATGTGCTTGAATCAGCAAAAGTACATTGCTATCAGCTGTAAAAAATGGGAATTGAGCGTTAACTAAACTCTGAACTCATGTTTGATGAATAAAAGTGAATGTGGATGGTTTTATCTGATATTCCTATTTGCGGTTCTTTCATCCTTTAGTCAAGTCTGTCCCAGATCTTTCTGAATTTGCATGTGACGTGCATCACATCCTGTCACGGGCTGAGGAGGGATGAGCTCAAGAATTTCATCAAATGGATACCACAGTACATCCTCTTGTAGAGGCCAAAATAATCTGTTTATCCCGGCATGGTGCATGCGTTTGACTTGACCATTGGTTTCGTCTATGGAAAAGATTATTCCTGGACAGTGAGAGAGTGAATGGTTGTTTGTCTCGTTTGTCTCTATGTGTCCCTGTGATGGACTTGTGACCCGTCCAGGGTGTACCCCGCCCCTCGCACAGTGATTGCTGGACATGGGCACCAGCGACCCCCGTGACCCAAAATGGAATAAACGGGTAAAGAAAATGGATGGATGGATGGATGGATGGATGGGCACACACCACTCCCCTATTACCTCTGGGTCATCCCAATTGATTTATTTTTGCCCTTGTGACGCAGTAGCTGGGACTTTCCTGACAAAGCTGAAATGCTTTGTGTTCCAGCATGAACATTCAAGCTTTCCATAGGTGGAACACATGCAGCTGACATCCCGTGATGTTATCTCTCCTTGAGCAAGAGTAATTACTTGATGGATGTGCGTGGTTCCTGGGACTGGTGGAATGGTGGCTGGCATCCTATGCAGTGCCAGCTCAACAGCTTCTTCTTCAATATAATACAATTTGATTGAACAGTCAGTTTCGGACAGCGCCTTGAAGAGCTCATAAGCATTGTTGATGTCCCGTCCATGGCTGATAAGGTTATCAGCTGATCTCTTTAAGGCAGCACCAACACCATCCGGTGCTCCTTTGCCGTGCCTGGACTCGAAAAAATTCCAGGTCCCTCTCAGTCCTCTCTTGTCAAGCTCTGTGCTGAAGAGAAAAAAGTTTCCTTTCTGCCTGTAATGTGTACAGGACCCATCACTAAAAAAGTGCACAACCGACACCTCTGGGTGTGTGGTCTGCACATAGTCCAGTGCAGGTTTCAAATGTTCCCACATGGCAGCTGGACTCTTACATTTGGACGGTGAAATGGAGGTAAAGCAGGTTGAATCTTGGGTGCCACCAACATAGATGACTTACTGACTTTTTATTTATTTTATATTCAGTGAAAAAATAATGGTGGTCAGTGGAGACATGTTCATTTGGCTGACCTCTATGCCTCAGCAACCTATAATTTTTTTTTTCAAAACATAACTTTAAAAATATATTTGTGTTTTATATTGCAAAAATACATGAATATTTCCATTTTTTGTTTTTGAATAATATTTGTGGTTTACATTAAATTAAAATCTTTGAGGTGAGACACAAAGTGTACCGAATTCAGAGAAATTACCCCAAAAGTATACAGTCCACCACAGGCGTTGCCAGACCCCCATGCCCCAGTAAAAAAAGGTCCCCTTTTTCTGAAAGATGATCAATTTGTTGATCATGTCGACTTTTGTTCTTACCAAAGTAATGGGTGGTGGGGGTGGGGGGGGGGGTCTGTTTTTGTAAATTTTGGAGGGATAGGTTGGTAGGCAAATATCTGACACAGGACTTGAGAAATTTATCAAATTTCATTTGGCAAAAGTAAAACATAAAATAAAATAAAAAAACTACAGCTGAGTCTTCATGAACATTACAAGTTATGTGACCAGTCAGGAAGTCAGGAGAGTTATTGACCTTCAATAACAATCATCATCGTTGTCGACTTCATCATCTTTGTCATCATCATCATCATCATGCATAATCATGTAATTATTTTTATCCTTAACATTTTTTTTTTTTTGTCTTTCTTCCAATGGACCTGGACCTGGACAAACACATGGACCTGTTATTCTGTGTTTGTTTACTTCCTGTCCTCTCAAACCCCAGCCGGTCAAAGCAGATGGCTGCTCGTCCTGACCCTGCTTTTGCTGGAGGGTTCTTTCTATTAAGAGTTTTTCCTTTCCACCTTCTCCTTTATTCTTGCTCAGGATGGGAGACTATGACGAAGCAAAGATCCAACACAATCTGCTGCCTTCCTTAGATCGATACTTTTTACTAATTGGCTTTTTCATTTACGTGAATGTTTTTGTACAATACATTGGCACAACTTCTGTTGTGACTTGGCGCTATAGCTGACTTGAAAATTGAATTGCAGATCTTTTATTTTGACAATACCGGAAGTGTGTTTTATTCTGATAGGTCGTTGTCGTAAGAGCTCGTCGTTAGCTTTGAGGCTAGGTTGGTTGGCTGTCGGTTGTTTTGCTGATAGCTACTCGGGGTGTTTAGCCGTCGTCACTGCGCAGTCTGTCACTACTTTGGCGCATCTGACGGACCACAAATTTCAGGTATGGCTTCCCGACTTTGACGATAAATCATTTAACAAAAAGCTAGCTAAAACGTCACGTTTTGTATCGTTCAGCAGCCATGTTGCTGTATATCAATCAGCGATGCAGCTAGCACAATAACCGTGTTTATTTTTAGCGGCTAACCTGCAGCGCACTGCTGCAAAACATAATGGATAAATCTTCTGAACACAAGTCCGAGTAAATTAGCATATCCGCTGAAATAATGCGACGCCGCTGCCGTACTTTCAGTGTTTAACGCTAGCGCATTTTGATCTTACCTGGTCCTTTGGTCAAAAGTCAAGACAGGCCTTTTATTAGTAACTCGCAATTTTAATTCTGACATTTATTCGTGAAGCTTATATCCACGTTTCAACAGTGTGGATGGAGACGTGTCTTTTGCACTTTCTAGCCCATACGTTTGGTTGACTTTAAGCAGCTTTAGCATTGGATTTAAAGGTTAATGCTTCTTTACCTTAACTAGAAAGAGACTGTTGATATGCGTTGAAATACCTACTGTATTAGTTCAAAATGGCCCTTAATGCTGTCTGCTGCTCATTATGTTTCGATACTGCGCTGTGTTTTTAATCGATTCTTCAAGCTTGAAGTCTCTGAATTGTCTCATAATTTAAAGCATATTGATCAGCAAATTGCATCAGCCCTAATCTGTAGCCTCCACCCTTCCTGGTCAACTTCATTCAACATGTGAACACTTATTTTAGCTCAACTAGTGTTTGAGGTATTCAAATAAACACTATAAATTCAAAAAGGTATATAATCAGGTCTCTCTTGTAAATGAGTCCTCGAGGCTCAGTGAGATGTACCTGTCTAAATAAAGGTTGAATGAATTTGTTGTGTCCCTAAAGACACTTATTAGGAAAATTGGACGTATTAGGGCTAGGGTTCTCCATCTGCCCTTCCTCGCATTAAATCCAACCTGCCTTTTTATTCTTAAAAGCATCTCAAAATTCTGTCTATTTTCTTCTGACTGAGTAGCAGAAACTCACAACTTTCTGTGTGGACAATTGCAATGAAGTCCTTGAAACACTACAGTATGTCCAAAATTCTGCTTG